GCGTAGAATCTTGGATACTCTTAAACCATGGCCAACCGAGGGAGTGAGGCCACCAAACAATGCCTTGACTTCGGGAAGAAGTATCTTTAGCCGGATGCGGTACGCCAATGAGCGTGCGTGGCAAGCAGCCACACTGATAAAACTGACGAGAAGAGAAGGGCTTGTAGAAGAGGAGATATAGATGCCCGATGTACTAGAAATGTAACTCACAAGAGTGGAAACTTGGGCTAGTTGGAGCATAGTCATATTTGCAAGATGTTTCAGCGCGCGAACAAAGGAAAAAGGACAGGGTAGACAGAAAGAGCGCTGACTTCCAACTAACTTTATTTCACAGAGTGGAAAGAATATATACTGCTAAAAAGGATGATAACAGAGCATGAAGGTAAAATGCACGCCTAATCTGCACATCAGTAACAAAACACGTGTGACAGGTCCTCTATTGCCTCAAAGCCCAGCTAGGTAATCACGTTCAGCCTGTGATAACCCAATCGATGATGTGCTTACACATTTATCTCCTAGCAAGTGTATTTTTTCGGCTTCAATAATTTCTCGGGTAAGCTGGTCCCTGTGCCTGTCCATGCTGATCCATGTGTAAGCACATCATCGATTGCGTTATCACAGGCTCAACGTGATTACCTAGCCGGCCTGTCGTACTGCCTTACGTGCACGACGTATCACACAGGCTAAAAAAGATTGCTCGAGACGCCAACATTTTTGTGGTTTTTTTCTGCCCCGGAAAAATTGCAGAGGCTTTGCAAACAGGTCAATGCACCTCGTGCAAATTCTGCCTCGTGCTCTGTCGCCCACAGGACACGCTACGTCCCATGCGCAGTGGGAGTCGTTTACTTGATTCCACTGACGTGTGGGTGCATCTATGTCGGGCAAACCGGCAGGTGCATAAATGACCGCCTCTGAGAACACCGAAACAATGTGCACAATGTGGTACAAGGGCATCTTGGCATTCATTGCCGAGATTGTGGGTGCACCCCTCTCTTTGATAAGTGCTCAATATTGGCAAGGCAGAGGGACCAGCTTACCCGAGAAATTATTGAAGCCGAAAAAATACACTTGCTAGGAGATAAATGTGTAAGCACATCATCGATTGCGTTATCACAGGCTGAACGTGATTACCTAGCTGGGCTTTGAGGCAATAGAGGACCTGTCACACGTGTTTTGTTACTGATGTGCAGATTAGGCGTGCATTTTACCTTCATGCTCTGTTATCATCCTTTTTAGCAGTATATATTCTTGCCACTCTGTGAAATAAAGTTAGTTGGAAGTTAGCGCTCTTTCTGTCTACCCTGTCCTTTTTCCTTTGTTCGCGCGCTGAAACATCTTGCAAATATGACTACGCACCAACTAGCCCAAGTTTCCACTCTTGTGAGTTACATGTCTAGTACGTACTGTCAAAACAATGTAATAGTGTAACGTCCTAATGAAGTACCTGGGCCTTGCTCTCACGATGAACTTGGACTGGACGTTGCACGTTGACTAATCATATCTCTGATAACAACTTTATCAAAAAAAATTTCAGTATGTGCCGAAAGCGTTAAGGGAACCCCCTACCGTGATCTAGTGGCTGAGACACTCAACTGCTGACCTGCAGGTCCCGGAATTGAGTTCCAGCTGGGGTGGCTGCATTTCGGTGGCCCGTGTGTTTAGATTTAGGTGCATGTCAAGAACCTCTGGTGGTATGAACTTCCGCAGCCCTGTTTTATGGCATCTCTCATAATCATATGATGGTTTTGGGGCGTTAGAGCTGTACTCCTATTATGTAGCGTTAAAGGAAACGTACATGACTGATATTAGACCCGTGTTGGAATATGCATGTGCAGCGTGACACCCCTTGTGTTTTAGTTTGAGTGTTTTAGTAGATAAGTTAGAGCAAGTTCATAAAAGAACTGCAAGATTCTTCACGGGAAGGTATGATTACAAAATGCAAAGTGTCCAAAACAGAGATCAACTGGTCTGGAAGTTACTTTCTACCTACAGGAAGGTAATCTGGCTAAAGCTTTTAGAGGGCACCAATAGTGATAATAGGGCAATCTATAAAAACACATATTAAAACAGCCTCGTCATGAGTGTAAGAGACGTGACAATTAAAAAAAAATTGGGCTCTACTAATGTCACAATAAGATGCTTTTGGTTTTTGTTCTCCCCTTGAACAATCGAATAACAATATTTACTTCTAGATGACATGGTATTTGCATCAAACTTTTATTCTGCCAGAGAGAACTTTCTTTAAATCCATATAAATATTCCTCAAATGCCATTATAGTTGAAGGTCTTACGCTTTCTGAATGCGAAGCATTTTTTAGTGAACTTATACGACTTTGAGCGTATCTATCTAACTGCCTGCCTGCCTGCCTGCCTGTCTGTCTGTCTGTCTATCTATCTAGCCAGCCGCCTACGACTTTTAGCTCTTTTGGCCATTTCAATGATGGGATCAATACCAACATTTTCATGGCATGACATGACTGTATAAAAAGCATAAGTGACTAGTCATAACACGAAAATCATCACGTCTTTCATGAATGTCATGATTTACATGTCTTGGTCTCGCTGCTCTTTCAAATCGTTTCGTTCACATGACATATCAAAAAACTGGTATAATATTACATAGCTGCATGGCAAACATAAGTGGCAGGCCCGTGCAAATAATTACATGCGTGTCATGTAAGTCGTGATTACACGCCATACGCTCATGGTGCGCTCACAGTCATTTCGCTAGCTTCACATTTACCAAATTTGGTATTACGTGACGTGAATGGATGATGAAGATATATGACAGGTGCGAACACGATAATCATGACACGCATGTCATGTAAGAACATGACAACATATCACACTCATGATGCACTCGCGCCTGTTTTGCTTGCTTCACACATATCAACTTTGGTATTACGTGATGCGAATGTACGACGAAGGAAATTGCACATTGTAACATGATAATCATGACATGCATGTCGTGTAAAACATGACTATATGCCACGATCATAGTGCGCTCGCGGCCGTTTTGCAAGCTTCACATGTACCAAATTCCATGTTACGTGACATGGATAGATGACGAACACACATGCCAGGCGCAAACATGATAATCGTGACATGGAATTCATGTATAGCATAATTTATATGCCTACCTCTACTGGGGCTGGTATTTCAGATGTTAGTGGTGCCATCATTACGCGACTATAAACAGCATACTTGCATCTTATCCAGATACCCGAGTGCACATAACCTTTGTACTTGTGTTTTCTGTGTACTACATCCACGCGCCTCGTAATGTTGGGAGTGATTTTAAAGGCACATATCAAGGTTCCTCATTAGTGATTCGCATAGAATCGGTTCTCACTGTACGTGGGATCTGCCAATTTTTTAAAATAATATTGTCATGGCATATTTTTTGTCGTGATACTTGTATATATGCCAGTTCTGTGGTTTTGATGCTGCTAATTTGTGACATTTATTACGATTCTATCCTTTTACGATAATACTCAACTAGGGCACTAGAGTTATGTGTAATAAATAAAATAATTAGTTACAAGTGGCATCAGGAGTTCTTGTTCCTTCTTCATCGGGAGTGCTTTCTTGTTTAGTAAATGATGATAGTATTGTTAGTAATCATAGCCTAGTTTTAAAGAAAACGGCTCTAGTAATCATAGCCTAGTTTTAAAAAAAATGGCTCTGCGTCAATTAGATTTATCTGAGAAGTCGAGCACGTGGCTCCATATGGTGGTGCCGTCCGCAGCTGCTGCATGGCTTTAGTAGCAGTTGCTGTCTCTGTCACTTTTCCCGTAAGTAAGAAGGCAATCGCAGTGCTGATTCCAAGGGCTGACGTATTGACCCTCGAAACGCACTACAAAAGCGCGAACAGTTTTGTTTTGATCATTTAGTGCCACAGAGAACGCTGCTTGTCGTCCGAAGGTTGAGTCAGAGCCGGAGTGGATAGGAAAACAAGCTATATTCTCAGATAAGGCAGTACAAACAACGTAAAAACATGCGCCCTCGGCAGTTATGAAACACAAGTCACAAAATACTCCGATATATTGAAAACAATGGGCACAAACAACAACTAGCGTTATACAGTACAATGCATTAACTATCCAAGAACATTTAAAGATTAGAATGTTCGTCAAAGCATTCAGTCCAAAGTTCTTGGACTACTTATTCTTGAATGCTTCTCTTCTCGGAAACACCCACACTATGTCCTGCGCCGGTGATCATCCTGCTACGTGCGAGGTTTCTCTTCCAGGAAATGCTCTTTAAAACTTGCCCGCTCTTCCAGATTGTTCCAAATCGACTGACCACACTTCAACAACAAAACTTCTTCGTCGGGCATCACCATCACCCACTCATGCGCCACCACTGCAGGACAGGCCTTTGTCCCCTGGCGGAATCGCACGCCGACTTCATTACCTAGATCGCTTCCTCCACTGCTTGCTTATATCCGTTCGCCACTGGGTTCTCGAAGCTACCAGGATTTTCAACGGTGCGCCGCACAGCAAAAGCTAGGGAAGGGGTGAGATATTTCTCGTAGTTCTCGCGCTAGGATTCGCTTGGTGTTTGATCCGAGGCGGCGGTGGGCAGCCGTTCCGAGGCGACAAGGAGGAGTGCGCGGCACCCTAGATGCTCGCTTCTCGGTTGTGCTGGCTTCTATCGCATCTGATTGGGGCCTGGTTTTCACGTAGCCATTAAAAATCGGAGGAGCGTGCTTTTTTTAGTACTCGTTTGTGACAACCTCGCAGCTGCTATCTCGCTGGCGACGGTCACAGCTGCTATCTTTGTGCTGGTATGAGAGTGCTTGGCAGTCTTATGGTGTTGGTTTCTGCATATTTTTGCAAAACACGATGGGTGAAGCGACCGACTGGCCGCTTCACCCAGAGAATAACTAAAGGGCTTAGGCTTTCTCAAACGATTTTACATTGGCTCATTTGAACATATTGTCATTTGCTTTGACCACATTTCTTGCCTTTAAGAATGATTTGCATCTGCCCTAACAGGTGTCATGTCCAGCGGTGGTGTTGGAGACGGTGAAACGAGCCGAGCGTCACCCTGATGCCATAGTCCTTCGGTTTTACGAGGCATACGGTGGGGAAGCGACGGCAGCAGTGACCACGTTCCTTCCAGTTGCCCGGGTAGTGATGTGCAATGCTCTCGAAGACGGTGGCGCCGATCTGCTTCTCAGCGGGGGAACAATTCAGCTTGTCTTCAAACCTTTTCAGGTTGTGTCAGTGCTAGTGTTTCTGAAAACCCTCACCAAGTGAATCTTGTCTTCCTCGAAACCAGCATGATGAATTCAAGGCACAGAACGTCAGCTAGTAGAACTCACTGTTGGGCTAGTTGGCACCTGTATAAATAAATAGTCAACTTAATGCCAAAATCACAAACACACAGAAGAAGAAAACATATACAGGACGGGCGCTCACTAAAAACTGTTTATTTCTTGAGGAAACGGGCTATTATAAACCCATTTATTATCAACACATGCGCAACATGATTGAGCCGTCGCTTACCTAATCACGCTATCGGACTCATGCTCTCTAGAGAACGTGGTTTAGACCCATATAGGTTAAGCGATGTTTCGCTTACACAATTAATATTCTGTTTCTTTATGTGATAGGCCTCCAAATTTCCCGTGCCACCTTGATTTCACTTTTTCCCAGGATCCTAATCTGCATGAAGCTTAGTGTGCATCCACATGAAGTGACATGCGCGCTTTGATGCGCACCGCTCTTATTCTTTACCACGAGAGCGTGTTCTCTCACTCGATTATTGACGCAGTGCCCCATGTGGCCAACATAGCTCATCCCGCATGATAGGGGTATTTCGTGCACCACTCTAGTGGCATATGAAGTGCTTCTTTTTCCAGCCTTTTGGCTGTTGAGCATGACTTCCATTGATGTGAGGGCACAACTTTGCCTATTTGTTTGGTGCAGCGAACATCATCAGTACACCATGGCAACTCACCAACTTTTTTAGGTTGTGTTTAACCTTTATAAGGTACCACCTCCGGCTGCTCTTTATCTTTTTGTGCTTCAGCCGGGCCTTTTTTTACATTCCGCAGAAGGCATTCCACAACCGCATATGAAAAGTTCGACTGTGTGCTTTGTTTGCTTTTTTTTCTTGCATAGTCGTTCATGGATTGAGTTGTTATAGAAAGTGTGTGGCTTCACACTTGGAAGACGGGAATTGTTTGAAAGTGATGCATGTGATAAATAATCACTATGCCGTAATGGCCAATCACAGTGGCGGTCCATATTTTCAGGAGACCGCGAATGCTTGATAAGCGTATGGGATTCTGCACATGGTTTTACAAGGAACGCATACTGACATTCCTGTAAGCATGACAACAGGTGGCACATATTGGGATCAGGGTAATGCTTAATAGTGGACAAGCTAAAACCCTCTCTAGTCTGAAACACTTGTGTAGATGCACCATAATCTGTGCATAAACTTACAGCACTTATATTATTACTACACACCCTACTTTATTCTGTGCTTATGACACCTGCTGCATCTTGCCTATGACATTGTAACCCCAACACGTTTCTGCACATTTTCTCAACATAGCGTCGTAAGATTTCTTCTTTTTTACCATTTAACTTTTAAGCTTACGCATATTTTGAAGTGTTGCACTGCGTTTTGATTATTGTCCTTTTTTCTTTACCTGTAAACTACAATGACTTCCTCTATTGTTGCTCTTGTTACAATGTATTTTGTTGTTAATAATTTGCACTGTTGCATTTCTCCGTGCGACTTGTCTTCTGAATTCGCTGTAACCACCTTTCTTAGCACCTTTGGGCTTGTAATGTATTTCAATAAATAAATAATCTTCAACTGGGAAGTGTTCTTTGCACATGCGCAGCATGCATCCATTTCATGATTTCGTCACTATCTGTTGTTTACGGACACATGGTCAAGTTTTGTGGTGGGTAAATGAGAAAGTATCTTCGAAGAAAATTTACCATGACATCACTGGCTTACAGGAAGGTGTTTGGCTCATGAACAAGGGCAGAAATTCGGCCTTGTTGCTAAGCATCAAAGCGATATTTAGCGCTAACATGAGGAAGGGTGTAGAGGACACTACGAGTGTGCTACCTTCTAACAAAGTAATTCATTGCAACCAGAGCACGAATGTGTGCAGTGGTGATGCTCAGCCCACACCAAAAATGTTGAAGTATCGTCTGACACTGCCTAAATGACGCTATTAGTCAACCATGGGAGAACTGCGCAGCAGACAGTCTCTGGAAGCAGTCCTTCTGTCTCTCTGACTCCTTGTGCGCCCAAGTGTCACTCGCCGAGGGCTTGATCAAGGAATGAAACCACACTGATCAAAGTCCCCATTCGAACACAGATGTCGCTTGAAAAAAGGTTGTACCGTCGTCTTTTTACAACGTGAAACGGCCAGCATCACATGCAGGTAAGCAGTTATTCCGCCACATGCAAGCTGAATTCATTTGGCCAACTGCATTGTCATGCTTGGCAAAACGCTTCTGCTTCCAACGCACAGCATAGGACTCGGTTCCTGGTGAGGTGTACAAGATCATGCGAAAACATTTTAAAACTTACTTCCACAGCGGTTTTTTCCAGACAGGTTCAGGCAACTTGTTTCATTCTACTGTTTTTGAGATGCACGAAGTGGACTTTATTTCATGCAATGATGTTCTGTAAATGCTTTTAAACTTGAAGACAACGAAATCATGTGGCCCAGATGGTATCCAATACGTATATGTTTCTTAAGTGCTATGCAGAATGTTTTGGTAGATTTCTTATTGTACTGTTCAGAGCTTCTTTGTTGTCTACTGAGGTGCCCAAAGGCTCGAGGACAGCTAGAGTAGTGCCCATTTTTAAAAAGGGCAATCGTTGATCTGTAGAAAATTATTGATCCATATCTTAAACTTCATCCTGCTGTAAACTAATCGAGCATATCATCGCCAACCACATGAAAAAATTTTTAGACAGAAATTCAGTGTTAACGAACTGCCAGCATGGCTTCAGGAAAGGCTGCTCCATTACGACACAACTGTTAACTGTAATTCATAGTTTTGCAACAACATTTGATAATAATGGTCAAATCGACGCTTTTTTTTTTAGAGATTACAATCTTCCTGGCATTATAGTATCCTGGATAGCAGCTTATCTTTCGGATCGCGGGCAGTTTGTCACTATTGAGGGCAACGACTCGAGCTGTCTTCCAGTCACATCCGGAGTACCCCACGGTAGCGTCCTGGGGCTATTGTTATTTTTCGTCTATATAAATGACATTGTCAACGTTGTTACACCTGGCACACAAATCAGATTGTTTGCAGACGATTGCATTTTATATCAGGAAATAACTACAGTGCATAACCAAACCGACCACGAGATTAGTTTGCACAACATACAGGTGTGGTGTGACAGATCAGGCATGTCTTTGAATAAAGAAAAAACTGTCTGTCTTCCTATCACAAGGGAAAAAAGCCCGTTAAGATACACCTACACACTGGCCGCCTCACCGCTAAAAGAAGTTAAAAACTATAAATATCTGGGGGTAACATTTTCAAACAACATTTCGTGGAATATACATATTACTAACATATGTTCCTCAGCTTTCCGTAAGCTTTGTTTCCTGAAACAAAAGCTTAAAAATTCACCCTCCCACATTAAACTACTGAGTTACATTGCTTTCATTAGACTGAAGTTGGAGTATGCTTGCATTACATGGGATCCCTACACTAAACACAACATTAAAATAATAGAGAAAGTCCAGAGAAAAGTTGCTCGCTTCATTTACTCTTAAGTTCAAGCACACCGATTCCCTCACACTGCTGATGACAGAAAATGACATCCCCCTCTTCGAAACATGTAGGCAGATTCTCCGCCTCAATTTCCTACAGTCACTCCTTAAACGTGAATTATCCATCGACTCCGCATTATATGTAACACCTCTGTCTACTAGTCGTACACGTCACGATCACGCACATGCTTTAACTCCTCATTTTGCGAGGACAGATATTTAAAAACACTCATTTTTTCCCAGGACTGTGTCGGAGTGGAACTCTAGGCATGAAATAAATGACCTTTTTTAAGTTACCACAATACCCGCGTTAGGTGTTGTGTTTTGATCTTGTATGTTTTTTGTATGGTGTGTTTTGATTTTGTATGATTTTGTATGTCGGAGTGGAATTCTGGGCATATAATGAATGACTCTTTTTAAGTTACCACAATACACACGTTAGGTGTTGTGTTTCCATTTTGTATGTTTTACTTTATTTTACTTCTGTTGTAACTACAGCACTGCATTTTTTTCTTTTCTTTTTTTAAAGTATGCAGTCTGAGTGCCTTTACTAAGTTGAGTGTAAAAATTTTTGCATTCCTTGTACTCACTGTATTAATATTTTGGTATTGTATTTCTTTCTTTAGTGTACTATGAGTGCCCTTTATGCAAGGATCGAATTCTCGTCTGCAGTATGTTATAAATGGTAAATGTTAACCAGTACGCCAGACAGACTGTTTCAATCGCAAGAGCCCTGGAACCTCGTAAGAGAGAGTAACGATGCAACGCAGAGCTGGTGGGGTGTGCCCCACATATTTTTTTTTTTTTTTGTGGAACACCTTTGTGTTATAGACCTACAGCGACGAATGCTAGTTTACTTACGGTGCAACTTCAGAAAGTAGCTTCTTTCTTAATACTACAAAACAATAATAGGCCCAATACCTGAGTATGCTGCCCAATTTGGGATATGGGGCAATCAAACCTTACACAGTCATTGAATGTAGTTCAGAATAACTGTGCACGTTTCATCATTGCTAACTGTGACAGAACCGCTACTATCAGTGCCATAAATCTAGCCTTAACTTACCTTAATTCTTTCTCATCCAATTGAGAACTGATTCTGTTAATGCATTTTTGATAAGTTATTTCATCACCCACATCTTCGCAACAAACTTACTCCATGCCTCCGCACGTATCCCCCAGACTAGAGGATATCCATATATAGTCGGTGTTCGGTTGTGCAAATTTAATGCCTTCTTGCCATCATTTTTACGATGGTCTTTGGAGTCGCCTTACTGCCTCGACGTTCACCATTGCCAGTGATTCATCAGTGGCGTAAGAACACTATAGGTAACAGTGTATGACTACAAGGACCTTTTTTTAAGCTGTTCAATTTGTACCTACAAATGTGACAGCGATCATTGGATCTCTCTGTGTCATTTGATTTTCTATGCATTTTCTATTTGCTCTATTTCCCAAGTTCATTGCATTAACCGGGTCTCTTACAACCACTAACATCTGTATAGCTGTGTTGGCCCTGTGTACATGTATATTATTTTGTTACCACACGAAAACGGTTATTTTTCATATGTCTTGGAAAAATAGTTTTTGACAGATTGAAAAGTACTACAGCATGCATTGCAGCATAGCGAATTTTTCACAATGAAGTGCTATTTCTAAAGAATATATGTTGTAGAGCAACAAAAATATTTTGGAATGAAAACAAATGATTCAGAGGTGCAAATGTTGCGCCAATTCTATACAATGCCATTTCGTTGCGCCGAGCTGCGCTAAAATCACAAAATTAGCTGAAATTGCGCCAAAATGCCCGACCGGCCTCAAAATTATCTTGCGGCCGTTAATCTTAGTGCGAAATGGAGGCCACATTGGCCACCTGTATTTTGCATCATCAATGAAACGAAACAGCAGACCCTAACCTTAAAACACTGTGTAATTTTATATACTTGTTAGATGAGGACACTCGCAAATCGCGGTCGACCAGATAAAGTATAAGATAAAGTAACAACGGGCCACGTGCCCATCGGTTCGCGGCCCGCAAAGACCGGTTCCCTCCAGTGGCAGGCATGCCTCGCCATTTGAAGTTCTTAGGCAGTCGAGCGTGGCTGTTTCCTTCGCGCGCATCTGCTGTTTTTTGCTGTATGAAGAATGGGTCTGAGACCCATTTTTGCAACTTTTGCCGTTTGCCGGAGAGTGACACAGCCAATAACCGACGAAGGAGTGACATGAATGAGCCGTGTCGTCTGCTTCTGGCTCTCGGCGTCGTCTGCATCTGCTGTGGGACACTTCGAGCTGCTTGCTTCTTGCTCCGCGGTATTCACGCTGTAATGAATGAATGCGTGGTTTTTGCAGAAGTGAAAAAATCACAGCATATTGCCACGTTCTATTTCTCAAGTTTTGTTATCGCCCCAAAACACTACACAATTCTCAGCGCAAACCGCGCCTGCAGTTTTCGAGAAGCTTCCGGACTTTAGTAGATAATTTTGATAAGATCACGCCCACTCTGCGAACTGTACAGATTATTCTGGAACCTACGCCACCGCCAGCGATAACGCTAGAACATTCGATGGCAAGAGTATAAATGCCAACGCACTTTGTCGCTCGTGAATAGTTGATCGACGGCCGACGCTCCGTTCGCCGCTATCAGTCCAAGACTGCTACTGTAATCGGACTTTCCATTAACCGGGCACAGGTTCGCCCAAATAAACAGTGAAATTCCAATGCAATGTCTCCTGTCTTCAGCCACGTCACGACCCCGTGACATCTGGTGGAGGTGCTGCTTTTTTGATGTTCCAGACGCCCCCTTCAAGCCGCGACCCCAGCCCAAGCGGCAAAGAAGACACGGACGCTAACCCTGAACAGCGAATAAGCCACCGGCAGAGGGGACTACAACCAGAGTACGGACCCCTTCCTGAAGCAGCCAGGCAGACCCGGATCCCGACATCAACTACTGCAACCAAGACCGCCCCCGTGCAGCCTGCACCACTCCTGCTCCGACAACCCAAAGAGCCGCCAACTTTCCGCGGTTTGCCACTGGAAGACCCGGAAAGCTGGATCGAAAGGTTCGACCGCGTCGCCGCCTTCA